ACACACACACACACACACACACACACAAGTACATTGTAAATGTGCAACCACCTCCCCACCTCCAGGCTCCTCCTCATATTACATGTAGTCTCAGACACTGGGAACTAGAATTTTCTCCTCGGATTGAATGTATTTGACTCAGTGCATCTCAAAAAGTGAAAAAAAATATCTATAAAATAAAAACTTTGTACATTAATGTATATTATACTTGGGGAGCTGTCTTAGAGATGTGTAACTGGGGATGGTATTCAACCTGGCCTTTAAGCCTTCCAATGTTCATGCCTCCACTACTGATTCTGGTGTAAGATATTAATTTAGTTTGTTACTCTGTCCTGTCTAGATCTTAGCATGGCATGCGATGTCCTCAAGTTCTGCAATCACTTGCTGTGAACTATACTACTGGAACTGCTTAACAGCCTGTAGATATGCTCTGTGTCACCAAAAGAGTAATAACAAGGTAGACAAGTGCTCGAATGTATGAAAACACAGTGTAACAGTAATATGTCTAACATATGTAATTGTTTACATCTATACATTGAATTGTCATATATTAAAATCAGCATTTTGAATGTCAGAAGTATTTAATGCTCAGTGCATACAAAAAGTGTAAGACATATGACCAAAATAATTTGCGAAGCTTATTTTTAGTTCCGGAAACCTGTATCGCGGAAACGACATATTCCGCTCGTACTATTGTCTATTTTACGATAAATATACAGCAATAATTAGATGTAGACTAGGTAATGGTAGCAAATATTTGTTCAATTTTAATGCTATATACCGACCGCATATACAGGAACTACACAACAAACAGTGAAATAAGGCACAATACGTTTGGAATGGTGCGCTAGCATTGTGTACGGAAATATAATTTCGTGTATAAAACCGGACCCGGAGGCGGTCCAAAGATATATGGATCCGGAATACGAATCGGAACTTCGAAATATTGGTTTTTATTTAAGTTCCGAGCATTAATGCTATTTGATTTTTATGTATATCAAATATAAGTGTTGGGACACGTTAAAGTATTATATTTTTGACGGTATGGATAATAATATGACATAATTTTGCCCTTTACGCATTAAAATAGGAATAGGCAAAATGGGGTGGGGGAATGGCGTTCTAACTTCAAGTGAGCGAAATTGCAAAATTTTCACCGGGAACCCCACATTTTTTTATGCTTACCGAAAATCATATATACTTGGCTGTCTTCTGTAAAAGTTTTATAAAATTGACATGGGTTTTGATCGCATTTTTGCTTGTTTTTAATGCATTCGTTTGATGTAAATTTGTTAAAATTACATTTTGAAGAGAATAGATGGCCATGAAAAATGCATAAATATACCAAATATAATCATTTTTGTTTTATTTCTGCTTTTGATAGTACATCACGAGATGTGTAAAAAATATTCAACTTTGTGGTAACTCAAATTTTGCAAATATTATAGAAAACACATTTTTACTTAATTTTCATATTTTGGGGGAAATTTGCAGAAAAGTAGCTACCTTACTGCTGATATATCTCAAAAAGTAAGTCGAGAACCCCCTTTTTTCTTTTCATATATGGAATCTACGTAAAACATGCAAGAAAATAAGCCTAATTAGAAAAAAATGACATGGGTTTTTCCAAAAGGATGGACCCACCTTAATAAGGAACTGATGACAGATTTTTAGATAAATGAAATGTTCAGGTATTTAACTTTTGAAAAATATTTTCTTTTGATATATTTCCATGTCTGTGTGCGGATTTGCACAGGGGCAAAATGTCTGGGGGCGTTTCTGTTTGGGGGTCACCGGTTTTGTTTGTAAACTTCCGGTTGTCAACTTCTTGGCGCTGTGACACTCCAATATGCCACTAAACCTACCAAAAAAGTCATTTTGTAGCCTTTGCAAGTTATGTATTTATGAATCTAGACAGTTGTCACTAGTTTTGAACTTCAAATATTAAAGTTATTAGCTAAAACGTTTGGTAATAATATATAGTAAATGATTTAGTTGTGCGAGTCCTATAAGTTGTCCTAATTAATGTTATATGCGCAGGTTCTAACACAGTCGTTGACAACATTCATTACGGATTTCCAACAATCGAGTGGTTTTGTCGATAGTATTGGCCTTTGCAGAGCAAACCTCTACATTTGTGATTTTCAACAATGTTGTGACATTTGTTAAATTCAATAACTGGTATTTAACTTTTATCAAGAATATATAAGTGTTACTGAATTTTTTCACGCGTTTTATTTATACCAACTGACATTTCGGAGGTAAGGAAAGGAAAAACTTCAACGTTAAGTTATTTCACGCACTGTTTGTACTCAAAATTGACAATACACCCTATATAACACTGTAAGAACATTTTATCAAATAAATATACTTTTTTTTAAAGTATTACTTATATATTTTATTCGTTCGTCTAGAACAATATATATAAGTTCTTTATACTTTTGTGTGAATGATAAATGCCATGACAGTAGTTTGTACACAATATATAACCTTGATAGTATTTATGTGATCTGATATTATTTCGCCATGTACTGTTTCGAGTTCAGGCATTTGATAAAGGTACAATCATGTATCTTATGTTTGATTATCAAGCATTTGAAGCAGACATAACAACATCACTATATAATTGCAGTATCTTTATTGAATGTTTGCACAGGTATTAAGATATATAAACACAATACACGTACTTGAAGTATTCAGTGCACATGTTATGGACTGTTAAATCCCATTAAGACCGGTTGATTCCAATTGTTAATGTTCAACACAACGGTCTGGTGTGTGTTGTCTCCAGCAATAGTTCAAGCACAATGCACCTCTTTGTGTACGAACACGTAGTCAGCACATTATTCTCAGCGACCTTAAGTCTCCTAACCATGGGTTACCTTTCATTGCTGAGCCTGTGCCCCCATGGAACCTGTAAAGAAATATTTGATATTCAATTACAAGAGACCTACGAGTGTTATTACTTGCTATTACTCTGTCATTTGTACACCGAACTAGAAAAAAACAATGGATAGCAACATACTAATACAGTTATATATATATAGTGAAGTTATTATAAATATAATGAATGTTGTCGACATTTTACACAAGATTTTCATCAGAAGTCAACATTTCATTGATCTGACGAACAAAGTTATGCTACGTTTACATTAGGTTTCTGGCAAACGTAACTGCCGTGGCCGCCGGGAACATAATGTAAACTCAGCATTACCAAAACCGACTGTAACTAGACATGCATAAGGTACATGTAGCATCAATACATAAGATTAACATACTGATTTACATAACATTTGATCGGATGAAATATTGCGAGATCTAGATTTCTTTTTGGTATTTTAACGTATCGACCTTTAAGTCCATATTTGGTTGAAGTGCAGATAAGAAAGTTTGTTTAAATAGTAACCATTTCATTAGGACGTTTATGATAATATAAACCTACCAGAGCACGTCTTTTTGATGAGGATGCCTTCTTGGTCCATCAGTGAGGAAAAGTCATCTATCATGAAGGTGAAGTACTCTCCTGGAGAGGATGCCACCTCCTTTAGATTTTTCATTTCGACACTGCTGCCAATACCTGAATATACAAGATCATTTGTTAGCAAATGATTATGTCAAGTCGAAAGGTCTGATAACAGGCTTACTGTGCTTCACTGGTCATTTGTCTGATGAAGGTGACAGTGTACATATCGTACTAGTCATCGAAACGTCACAAAGAAAATTATATTGGTTCTGTAAAAAGAACTTCTCATAATCCATACTTACCAACCCGAAGGAAATGTTTAGAAATAGGCTTACTGTGCATTTCTTTTAAAGTAGTATTTTATCAACAATATGTATTTATGAATGTATACAATTCAAATTTACAAAGACTAATAGAATATAAAGTGAAACATAACATTTTTATACATAAACTAGGGATATGATTATATCGAAGCCTGATGCTCTGCCAGAAGAAGAATCTTATCCAAAGGTTTGATAAATGTTTAGTCCTAATTAGATCAGGACACAATGTCACAAATTTCCTTCCCGAAAAATAAGAAACAATGTTTAAGCTTGCTAAAGTTTCCTTAGTAGCAGTTATGCTTCATCGTGAAAAATCTAAGATCAAAGGAAATTTGAGGGAAACTTTTGAAAATGGAGCCGGATACAAATGACATCTACTACATTGTAAGTTGACCTGTGTAAAAATGGCAGTGGCTAGTTCTACCTGTGTATAAAGAACAATAACAAGTTACACTTGTGTATAAAGAACAATGACAACATACGCCTGTGTATAAGGACATTGACAAGTTACACCTGTGTAGAGAGGTCAATGAAAAGTTACAACTGTGTATAAAGAACAATAACAAGTTACAACTGTGTATAAAGAACAATGACAAGTTACGCCTGTGTATAAAGGACAATGACAAGTTATTCCTGTGTATAAAGGACAATGACAAGTTACACCTGTGTATAAAGGACATTGCCAAGATACATATGTATATCAGGACAATAACAAGTTACACCTGTGTATAAAGAACAATAACAAATGACACTTGTTCTTTTATGACATTGACAAATTGCACTTGTGTATAAAGGACAATAACAAGTGACACATGTGTAACCGATATTTCATGGAATGTGAATAAAACTTACCGATGGCATATATGATAATACCCTGAGCCTTGGCTGCCGCCGCCATTTGCCTTGTCCTGGCCTGGTTTTGGGGTGACCCGTCGGTGATGACAATCGCTAGTTTGGGAAGATTGGGCCGTGCTCCTGCGCTTGTTGTGAATGCCTGCTTTGTCATTAGGTCTAAAGCATCATCGGTGGAAGTGTCTCCTCCCATATAGTGGACCTGGTCGGACCAATGCAAGTCAACATATATTATTTTGTAGACTTAAGCAACAGTGAACAGTAAAAGGACAATTTAAGATAACGAAAGACATTTTGGTTGATATTGTTAGCAAAACATTAAGTGGAATAGGCCTTAAAAATCCAAATTGCATGTCGTATATGTAAAGTGATTATGTGATTGTACTTTTTTCCTATTTTCTATCTAACAGAGGGGCGACACCCAATCCGATATCAAAACTTGTACACTTTACTGTTAGGCTACCGCGAGATTCTTTTGATGTACATCAAAGAGTCAAACTAGTCTTCTTGTCTCTCCACAAGTTGGCTCACACTGAGCCGTCATTTTTTAGGACATATATCATGGATGCAGAAAGGATAAGTGAGCATCGAAGATATTCGAATCTTATTCCACGGCATATAAGACATTTTGTAGTAAGCTCCATACATTTTTTTAATTTAACACATACTGAAATAAATGATATATTAATCAATCCATTCCAATGGTAAGTTCTGTGTAGTAATATGTTTAGTTTTCAAGATCCTTATGATTAAACATCGTCGACAAAACAAACACATATTTGTTGTATTGGTGATTGTATGCAGGACACGAATCGGGCTCGGACTGGGTCTCTAATGTCTTTTAATGTTACAAGGGATAATAGCAGCAAAGGTGTACCTGTGAGATGGCAGCCCTTAAGTCGCTCTCTGTTCCGTAGCTGTTCAGGTTGAAGTCGATATGAGCATCTGTGGAAAAGGAGATCATGCCGATTTGGACACCATTTGGCCCAATGTTATACCTGCTAACCAAGCTGGCGATGAAGTCTTTTTGCTTGACGAAGTTCGTGCTGTTTATACTTGTGGAAGCGTCCGACACGACTACAATATCTGCCTTGTACTTGTTACATCCTGTAAATTCATCAGACAAGCTAGTAATTATCTTAATACTCTGGCGTTTAAAACATCATAAGCACTTTTAAATAGAACAAAAATACTACACAGCGTCAAAACACAAGAACAAAATCACAGCTCAAAGCGAATGAGAAAGGACAACATGAACTGATGAGAAAGCAAAACAAAGAGAAATACTCAAGACAGAAGGAATTCTGGGCTTAGTAGTGTACTGGCCAAACCAAAAGGCACAAGAACGTTAACAAAGTTAACAGTTGATGTTGGAATGATGCTGAGGAATTAAAATATAATAACCATAGAGATACGATTAACACAACCAATAATAGTATACAACCTCATTGACTACACCCAAACGGAAACATTACGAATCATCAAAATCAAATATATTGACATATTAAAAATCTCACAATAAAATATGCTGCATAAGCTTTATCATAAACTTCAACCAAACTGGCCGTGAATCAATGTAACAATCCAGCTAAGCTGAAGATTAATGGAATCTGAAATTCATGAATTCGAAACAGGCGTGTCATGAATCATCCGGCTATAAGGCAATGTTATTATCAGTCGTTCGATGTTGTGATTTGATGTAAACCATACTGTTCAATATGATGGAAAATCCTACGCTGACATGGCGGGAAATTTCTTTCTCTTGAAGTTGGATGTATACGTTCTGTATATGAACGTATTGTAAAGGTTGGCAAACTCGGCGATGGAAATTACCTGGCACTAATTAAAGTGCACATGCTCACCCAATTTGGTTGGTATCAATTACTTCAGACTCAATAACGGGTATCATCATTAATTATGCATGCATAGAATAAGCAATCGCCTTAACCCTAAAACTTCACGATATGAATGGGATAACAAATTTGATTGAAATAAAAACCCTTTTTAGGGCAAGTATTGCCTTATAAATGATCGACAAAGTAGAAGTAACCTCCGAAATCATGGATAACACATTGAGTACGATGAATGCAAATTAGAAATTTTCACTGAAGATATTAGGCATTCGATATGTCAGAAAAAAACTAAATCATATTTCGTATTAAAGAAAATGCTACTTACGCTCAGGTTCTGCACATCCAGGTTTTTCTGGAAAAAAACAACTTCTCTTCAATTCAAACCGAAAAGGAAAAAAAACACATAAAAGTACACACATTCTATTGAAAAGTTTTTCTTGAAGTTATTATACATAATTCATCATTGGTTAGCTCAACATTTATCGTAAGATATAAAAACAAATATCCACGCGTTCCTTTTTTCACGAAGACTTAAATGTCATATACCTTTGCAAACGCGGTGGACAAATCTATTCCTTAGCATTTCCAGACTGTCCAGGTTGTCAATCTGGAACACGTAGTCACTTGATGGTTTAGATGCCAGCATGTCCAGTTCGGGTTTGTAAGCACTACCAATCCCTGGCATTATAGAAACAGCGTCAGTTAGTCACATAATGGTGCTTAGCATTAGAGCTAAAACGCATGCACGTACACATTTAAGTACCTATTATCAATGTTAAAGAATACAAACTGTACACAATAACAACATTGGACCTGTTTTTGGTATGGTGTTAAGGTTAAAGCATACTAATTCAAAGACCGATGATAGTGTTAGATTAAAAACACAAGTAACATACACATAACCTTTTGTTTGTGTTATTTCCTCTTATTAATTTACTCATTTCCTTTAAATGCATGCTTTGTGGTATGTGTATTAAGAATTGTACTACCCTTTCACATACGTCGTCAAAATGAATTTCAAAATGTATCTGACACAAATAAATGCATAAATAGAATGGATCGACTTCTAGTATAAACCCTTATTGCGTCGGGGAATGTTCAGGAACGGTTTCGTTTTATCTAAATTACTATAATATTTAGCTAGTGCCTAACATACTATCACTGCCCTCACAATATGTTCTTTAACAAATAAATTACACCATACCGATAGCAAACATCTCGATATTTTCGGTTGCTAACACATTATGTGCGGACGCTCTCGTCATCTCGGTATTCGTCGACTTTCCGTCCGTTATGAGGATTCCGATGTGGGTTATCCCGTCGCGGACCTCGGACAAGCTGTGACGAAGAAGGAGGTCCAAAGCCTTATTGGTGTATGTGTTTCCAGTTGTCCAGTCAATGTTCTCTATGGCGCTCTCGAGACTCCCCTTATCCATGTACTTGTGCAGGCTGAATCGCATCTGGCTTTCGTCACTGTACGTGATAACACTTATGTGTGTCTTTTGCGGCCCAATATCAAACATGTCGGACACGTCTCTAACAAAATCAAGTTCCTTCCTGAAGTTTTCTTGAGAACCGATGCTTGTCGACTCGTCAAGGATAAAAATAATGTCGACAGGATTTGCATAGCATTCTTAAAAGAAAATTAATATATTATTTTTTTTTTTTTCACCTGGTGTGTAGATGTTGTGGTATTATTGAAATATAATTTTGTCCTGATGTGTTGATGCTGTGGATTATTTTAATATAATTTTGTCCTGATGTGTTGATGCTGTGGATTATTTTAATACAATTTTGTCCTGATAGGTTGATGCTAGTACTGTGGTAGCTAATGGTCACTACATATAACGCAAATTATGACTATGTTAGGGTTGAACATGGTATACAGATACTATCCAAATGGTTTGTGTAGTTACAAAATGCTTATCATTATGATTATTTAGGTTTATATTTCCACATTTATAAATACCAGACACAAATTAACAATAAAATTGAAACAAACCTCTTTGTATTTCTTTAGTTGAAATCTGGTTTGTTGCACGAGCTTAAAATAAAATTGAAAATATGTAAATGTGTGTTTGTTCATAATATACATTTCTAGTTTTAAACTTGCAGCGATCGTTTTAAACATCTTCGCTTATATATCTGGACTATTTGCTTTTCCACATATAGTTCACTATCGATATTGAAACATATACATATATTTTCACTTTTTTTTAAGATAGACATACACAGTTGCAATTATAGTAGGTCTGACGTATCGAATCAACAATCTATCTGCATAAGTAAAATGTTAAATGGGTCCAACCGTATAATGTTCGTCGTTCTTGGCTGGTAATATGGTTGTCAAACAGCGAAGCTAAAACATAAGTAGAAACACATGACATGACACACATACAGCTTACATTTTACAAAACAATGCGTTTCTGTATAATTATCATAGCGCATCAAACATTGGGTAAACATGTTAGAATCCTTCCCATCACTGAAAGTCGTTAAAAGCTACACGTATTGTTTAATGCAGAAAAAAAAAAATCACATTTGGCTATTTAAGTATTTCTTGTTTTAAAGATAAATTCACATATCCGTATTTAATATGTTCGATCTAAGACAAGTTTAAGCAAATGGAGTTGTTTGTTTAGGATATACGTTTTGATTAAAACAAATGTGTGACCGAATGAGAAAAAAATGTAATATAAAACGTGTTGCGACAATACATACCATACAATGATCGTCTTAAGGAGCCGGAGCTTTGATATAATGTTGGAGCTGGAACATGGGTAATGTAAATATATCAAACATGTAAAAAAAATGTGTTTCTTATATCGGCTTCTTTTGTGGCATAAACGAGAGATTATTTCACTTTGAAGATTTTCAAGTTTAGACAAGGAAGCCTTAATTGCTACAATACGAAGAAGAAAAAGTCAGATTTATCGTGACATCGAAATTGAAAATCCCCATTGTACTTTTTCTCATTAATTTTCCTTCTGTTATCAAAGTGTTATCAGAACTCAAAATCAACTTATATTTGTTGCTGTAAAACCTATTATTTCGCATATTGATTAAAAATTGATTTAAAATGTTGGCAGCGCTATGTGAATAATGATACTAACCTCTACAGAAGCGACATGCCAATAACTTCTTTATATGTTCTGTATCAAGCTTTGTGTAGGTGTCCACGGTGATAAGGTACTTCTCATCCGGATCAGATGCAATGCCGCGGAGTTCGTTAAGGTCCACTGAACTCCCTATACCAACAGCGAACATATGAATACCGTCACTTGTTTTGGCCATTCTTGCTTGATTTTGTGTCTCTGCTTTTCCTTCTTCAGTTGAATACATATCGTATGATCCTGGATTGGTGGCGCCGTCGGTAAGAACAACGCCAATGTGTAATGCATCATCTCGTGCGCCATTTCCAGGAGCAAATAGGTCGGTGCGCATGCGTTCTATGGCTAGGTATGTTCTGGTAGCGTCGCCAGCGCTGTATCGTATCTTCCTTGTCGCTGCCAAAATATCGTCGCGGGTGGTAAAGTTGTTGAACCTAAATTCATTGAACACTTGGTTGCTGAATGAAACTGCGGCGAACTGGACGTCGTCAGTAACAGTTTCAAACATGTTAACAACGTCATAGAGGAAAGATCTCTGTTTCTTAAAGTCCTCGATATAGATGCTGCTGGACGAGTCCACCACAAACGCTACGTCTAGTTTACATCCCGACAAGGGTACCTCTGTATAAATGGTAAGAAAAAAACAAAATAGAAAAAGAAATTGTGTTTAAAACCTATTTTATTATTTAGCACTAGCGTTTACATCAACAACTTAAACATGTCACATACAATATATTTTGTTCATTTTCCTTTTTTTTGTTGCTTTATTTGTTTGTTTGCTTGTTTTTATGTCATTGCCACAAGCAAAACTGACTTTAAGTACACTCGTCTGTAATACAATAAACCATCATAAATGGTATTCCATCTGTCCTTAATAGATACACCTATCCACCTGGTGACTAACATTACGATCAATTCAAAGAAATAAAAATCGTTTTATCAATAAATGTTGTTTGTTGACCGGTGTTTTATTGTGTTGAATATACTTACCGACTGAAGGGTGGATCTGAAAATTGAAGGTAAACGCATGAATTCAAACACAGAGATTATAAATATTACAGCAAAGTACATAAATTACTCTTCGAAACGAAATGCTAACGGTATCCATGGCAACAATGTATACGCATTAAGACAACAAGAAAGCTTATCATCAGTAGTAAGATATAGTTACGTCAAGGGAATTTCAGGCAGACTGATTGTTCAAAACGAATGCATATTTAGCGATTTTATTAACCCCAGAATTAAATGACAAAACCCATGTTCATAATTGATTGATACAATTTGACGTATTGTTTTTACCATGCTAATTGCATTTGTAAAGTCATACGCTCATATAAAGATAAGTCGGAGGAACAAGTTTTGATTTTAAAACTTCAAACTCACCGCGTCGTTTTTATAAAATCATTTCACACACTATATTGTTATAATCACCACAAACAGAGAGTTATTCACTAGTGGCAGGTCGATGGTCACTGACAGTCTCTGACCATTCAAGAATTTTATGTTATATATTTTTTTATTTTCATTATTATGTCTGTGCCTTTATATATATATGCAGATAGTTAAACAAAATCAAGTACATGCTACTTGCTACTTACCAGACACCAAATGGCGAGTAGCAGGGTAAACGTTAGAGACAACATCTTCTCAGGTCAGGACAGACTCATACTACTCGGCTCTCACACTTTCAGTTTTATAGCATATGTAAATAGAACAACAATTTCCTGCATGTAATTTCACATAAAATATCAGTGATTGTTTTCCGGGTCTGTTAGACAATTATATGGTTAACGTGTTTCTCCTGACAAGTTAATAGGTATACTTCAAATAGCCAATTTAGTCAGTAACTTACTTAACAGTTTTTATTCCCAAAAGCCATCCTTGATTTGTTTTCTCTTTCATACTTTTTATGAAATGTATGTGTATGTAGTTATCACGTGATCGGTCATAAAATAATTTAGTTAATGACAAAACACTAATTATGGTGCTTAATGCCGGACTCCGTAACTAGCAATAAAAAAATATGGTTTGCTAAATGATATCTGATGCGTTTTCAAATCTGTAATTCAGGAATTGTCTAAATGATATCTTATACAAATAATATACAGTATATAAAAATACGCTTTTTATCAAATACATTGAATAAAAAAACGGGAAATCATAAACTATTTAAATAGCACATTGTAAGTATGATACATTGTATACAGTGTTGTTGGAAACGACCAGTGTATGGTGATTAACTGTAAAACGACACAGTGTATGATGATTAACTGTAAAACGACACAGTGTATGATGATTAACTGTAAAACGACACAGTGTATGATGATT